TCGGTTCTCATACTGTGGATATCAGATACCCTGCCTATCAGATATTTACATTACGATTCATAACAGCAGCAAAACGACAGTTATGAGGTAGCAAGGAGATAATGTTATGGTTGGGGGTCAGCACACCATGAGGAACTGCATCAAAGGGTCTCGGCATTAGGAAGGGTGAGAACCGCTGGTTGACAGTGAGGATTACAGGGGATGTGGCCATGGGGCTGAGGTCTCGGGATGAAGGTGCTCAGCGCAGTGAAGCTGAAACTCTTTAGAAAGCTTTTAAGATGTAAACAGTAAAGCTGCGAAGTGACAACCAGCGTCACAAGCCCCTCTGCATGTCCGTCCAATACAAATCTAACGGATCCCTTCCCGCACCTTTACCTTCAGCTGATGTACATTTTTGTGCATCTTTACAAACATCTCTTGCTCCTCTCTTCTCATATAGGGCAGACATTGTAAAATAAAAAATTAGGAGTGAAAATGAGGAGAGTGGACCGAGTGGAGAGCTCTGAGAGACTGAGGTGAGAGGCACATGAAGGCCCGCCCCCGTCACTGTCCTGTGGTGATGTGCCCCCAATGTCTTCCGAGGTTTTAGGAAAAGGATATTGATAACTCTATGCAAACTTGTCTTTATATTATTTATCTTCTTCCGTTTATATCTCATATGTATTCCCAGATGGCCTTGCATTCACAGTCAATCTTCTGTCTCAGCCTCCTAAGTGCTGGATCGCAGGTGTGCTACCATCATGCTCAACAACAACTTCCAGTTTTTAAATGAGAGCAACTGAGTTTTTAAAACAAAGCAGTATAGGGCAAAGACAATTTGTCCTTGGGCCAAAAAGGGTCTCCAAGGGTTAGTCTAAAATCTCTCTTCCTAGGGTGACCTCACAGGGTTTCAAGTGCTGGCCGACAGATGCGGCGAAAGATCCACAATCTGCTGAACTGAACTAACTGTCTACACAATCGAAGTTACCCTTCAACAGTGATCTTGTCACTGGAATTCACAACTCTAGGTCATTAGTTAAAGTTTTCTCATCCAAGTTTGGGTTTACCATCTGCACCGACAAGAGAATTACTGTGTGTTCTGTTCCCTGTACATTTTGGTTTGATACCCACATGTCAGTTTTATGTCCCTTCTCTTATCAGAGGAAGACAGAAGCAAATTCCTTATTTACGGTAGAGACAAGAGCCACAGAGGGACCTAAACCAGCAAAGAGAGCCTGGCTGTTCCCAGGAAAAACACTTCCTATCTTTGCATCTCCTGGTAGTCAGAGCTCACCATAATGGAATCAGCTCCATCCCTCACACCTGGAAAAATACCTGAAATGTCACGCATGCTCCTCGACATTCAGGGAAGGAAGAGAACAAAATTCCCTGTTTTATATGATGTCAGCTTCCTCATCTTCTCATCCTCAGGGAGAACTGGGGTGATGACCAAACTGTTTTATCATCCCTGGCCTCTGTGTCTACTGCAGAAACCCTCTCCTCTCTCAGTACCTCTGGAACTCTGAATCCAAGAGCCCAATTTAGTCATTCTTTATGGGGACACTCACTTCCTAACAGTTCCCAGCAAGCCAGAGGCCGCAGGTTGTGTTCACAGTCTGGCAGTTTCCAGTTCTTTGACTCTACAACAAACATTTCAATGTTAACATGAAAAGACACCACCGGCCTCTTCTGGCACGTGAGGCTGGGTTTCTCTTCCCTAGCCCTAATGTGGTAAATATTAAGGGTCACAAGCTCAAATGTGCAGTGGCCAGACACAGAACTGTGGGGTGAATGAGATGGCAAAGTAGAGATGAGGTGTCTCACTTCTCTTTTTGACAGATTTTTCTGCCCTGCCCCCACCGCGAGACAGGGTTTCTTTCTCTCTGTAGCCTTGGCTGTCCTGGAACTCACTCTGTAGACCAGGCTGGCCTTGAACTCAGAGATCTGCCTGCCTCTGCCTCCTGAGTGTTGGGATTAAAGATATGCACCACTACTGCTTGGCTGATTTTAAAAAAAAAAAAAAAAAAAAAAAAAAAAACAAGTCAAAACTTCAAAGCCCTATAAAACAAGCCTGTAGCCAGCCAACTTCGATCCTGTGTATAACACAGCATTTTCCTGGAATTTAGAAAGTATTTTTCAAGTGAAATAGCAAAAAGATATGAAAACAAGATAAAACAAAACAAAACAAATAAAAACTCACTGAAAAGCCCTAGACATAAATGGTGGATCGACTGGGAGCCAGCACACTGCAGCAGGCCGGTGGGTATTCATGGTACCTAGTCAAAACTGTAGCTCTAAATCATGATGTCAAGGAGAGTCATGGCGTCCTCTGTAAAGGCTGATTTGTGGACTGACTTCACACCAGCCGTTCTCAGCCTCCCTAACGCTGCGACCCTTTAACGCAGTTCCTCATGGTGTGGTGACCCCCGACCATAACATTATTTCATTGCTACTTCCTAACTGTGATTTTGTTACCGTTATGGATCGTGATGTAAGTGTGGGTGTTTTCAGAGGGTCTTAGGCGACCACTGTGGAAGGGACAATGGAACCCGGAGGGGGTCACGACCCACAGGTTGAGAACCACTGCTGCTTTACCTAGCCAGCCCTCAGACTGCATCTCGAGTGAGGGCTGGCTTGGTTTCTCTGGGAAGAATGGAGGCAACAAAAGCAAAGAAAATACTCCACAGTATGGTCTGATCCGGTTACAATGGTGTAGAGACACATTGTCCCTTGTTTGTTTTTATGTATGTGTGGGTTTGTGTTATGCACGTTTTTTGTGTGTGTGTGTGTATGTGTGTGTGTGTGTGTGTGTGTGTGTGTGTGTGTGTGTGTGTGTGTGCGCGTGTGTATATGCCTGGGGAACCCACAACAGCCACTGGATCCCCTGGAGTTCCAGGCAGAGATAAGTCATAAAAACAAAGAAATAATTTATTTTTTAAATTTTAACTATCTATCATCTATCTTCTATTTATCATCTATCTTCTATCATCTATCTATCATATATCTACCATCTATCTATCTATCTGTCTGTCTGTCTGTCTCTGTCTATCTATCTATCTGTCTGTCTCTGTTTATCTATCTATCTATCTATCTATCTATCTATCTATCTATCTATCTATCTATCTATCTATCTATCTATCTATCTATCTGTCTATCTGTCTGTCTGTCTGTCTATCTGTCTGTCTATCTGTCTATCTGTCTGTCTATCTATCTATCTATCTATCTATCTATCTATCTATCTATCTATCTATCTATCTGTCTGTCTATCTATCTATCTGTCTATCTATCTACGTGAGTGTATGTGCAGGTGCCCATGGAGGTAGCAGAAGATGGCGCTGGACTCTGGAGCTGGCATTATTGGCACTTGTGAGCCCCCCCCCCACCATGTGGGTGCTGGGATGTGAACCCAGGTTCTCACGACAACACAACAAGCATCCTATAATCACTTAATGAATTGTCCAGCCCCTTCTTCTCTACATCTTACTTTTTTTACACAGGGCCTAATGCATCTCAGGCTGGCCTCAAACTCGCTATGTAGCCCCAGGATGACCTTGACCTTCTGACCCTCTTGCCTCTATCTCACCCCCATCTCCTGAGTGCTGGGAGTACAGTCTCCAGTCACCACACATCATCTGTCTGGCACTGGAGATTGATGTGTAAGCAAAACACTCCGCCAGTGAATTACATCCCTTGCCCCAGGGATCTGCTTTGCTGGTCTGAGTCTGTTCTTTTTATTCCACTTTCTACACTGTGGAAGTTATCTGTTTCTACAAAACCTCTATCGGGGCTGTCAATCACAGGACTGCATCAAGTCCGGCCAATTAGAGATTTCCATTTCCTGGATGTAATGGTTGGTCCAGACTTCAGCCCCGCCATTGAAGAGATAATCTTCTGTGTTGGATAAGGATGCTGGCATGGGATGAGAAGGCAAGCAGCAGAACCATGGAGTTCTGGAACCATACCTAAACCCTACCAATACCCATATGTCACAGACCCAGTAACATCAGAGGCCGTTGCAAATACAGAGCCAATTCTGGGTTCCTATAAATCACCTTTGCGAGTCTTGAATAATGGAAAACCATCTGTGCTTCCTATTTTTATATCAGGAGAGCATGAGTCTGATACAGTTGGTGGCCAAAACAAGCATCTGAACTGTGCAACTGTTTTCCAGTCTCACTATATATTGATAATTCACATTTGATAGTCTATACTTTTAAGTATGTCCGCAAATAATCATTTTTCTATCCCACTTCAAGTACTATTTCAAATGCGAAAATTTTTTGCATTCATTTTATAACCAATGACCACTTTCAGTTACCAAAAATTTAGAAATTATGGAAAGGCAATAAGCAGGGGACGAGGGGGGGAATTTCTCATTTTAGAAGATAAGATCAAATTAACTTGTATTCTACATATGACTGTATTTTTGCACACATGCGATGAATTAGGTAATTCAAGGAGCTGTTTTCAATATGAGCTATTGTTTAAGAAGACAAACTCCGTTTATACGTACATGAAGTCAACCCTGGTAAAGTATTAATTTACAGAGGCATGCAGGGACCTTTGCATTTATCCTCTGTGGAGAATCTTGGAGGAACCCTGGTAGTGAAGGGCACTTGAAGGAGATGGCCTTCAGAAAGACAAATGATGCTGAGGCCATGTGAGAATGTCTTCCAGCTTAGGTGTGAGTTCGGATCCCAGTGGGTCAGGGAGCACGTTCACCTCCTTCCAGGGAGCACTCTCACCTCCGCCCCCAGGAGCACCCTCACCTCCTCCCAGGGAGCACTCTCACCTCACCTCCTCCCAGGGAGCACTCTCACCTCACCTCCTCCCAGGGGGCACTCTCACCTCACTTCCTCTCAGGGAGCACACTCACCTCCTCTCAGGGAGCACGCTCACCTCTTCCCAGGGAGCCACCCTCACCTCCTCCCAGGGAGCACTCTCACCTCCTCCCCGGGAGCACCCTCACCTTCTCCTCCTCTCCGGGAGCACCCTCACCCCCTCCCCGGGAGCACGCTCACCTCCTCGTTCTCGATCTTGAGTGTGGCCAGCCGGGACTGCAGCTGCTGGTTCCTGAGCATGAGCTCTGCCTGGACCGGCTGCTGGGCGCTGACCTGGCACACCTGACGGAGAGGCAGAGAGCGCGGTTAAGACGGGCACCACCACCAGCCTCAGAAGCACGAGGGTCATTTATCGGTTTTGGGCGCGGATGTGTGTCTATGCGTGCATGTGCTCGCCTGTTTGTGTACCCCCGGAGAGGCCACCAGTCAACTTTGGGGTGTTTAATCTATCGCTTTCCAGAGGGTGCTGAGATGGTCTCTCACGGAACCTGGGGTTTACCATGTCAGCTAGGACTGACGGACTGGCTGGGAAGCCCCGGGACCAATCTGTCTTTGTCGTCCACCCCACCCTGCTCTCACCCTTGGCCGTGAGAGGTCCATGAGGCCTGACTCTTTATCTGGGGCCTGCAGATCTTTGCCCATCGAGCCCATGAGTCTCATACTTAAATGTCACATACAGGAGTCACGTCAACTCTCTCGATTCCAACGGTTCTGTTTAGAAAGGTTCTTTTTAGAATCCTATTTCTTCTTCTCAGGTGCTGAGACAGGCATATGCCACCACGCCTGGCTACGTCTTCACTTTTAACAGCCACCTTAAAGCTTCACTTTTAAGGAGATTTGGACATGAGCGGTGAGCACAAAACACAGCTAGGGCCTAGCGCTCTCAGGGAAGGGAACGGCGGTGGCAGGAAGCTTTGCTCTGTGAGCAGCAGGGCCTGAGACTGAGAGCTGCCGCCGCCGCCTTACCTTTGGAATCCCAATGAGCCCCGAGCAGAGGGTAAAGGATGGCCCAGGCAGACTGTACGGGCATTAGGAAAGGGGGTGGCGGGTGTCACAGAGCTTGCCAGCTAGGGTGTGGGCTCTGCAGCCAGGCAGATGTTTCTGCAAGCCAGCTCTGCCTTCTACCTGTGGCAAGCTGTGCGATTTCAGTTTCCTGCTCTGTAAGGAGGGGTCAGAGGACATGAGGACTCCCTAATCCCGGGACTGCTGTGAGAATGATACAATGTATACAGATACAGACCACTCAAAAAAGTGCCTTATTATTATTTTTTTTCCAAAGCCGTCTTTCAATCATGGCTGCTAGCCAGTATCAGTTAAACCACACGACTCACCACAGACTTCATAAGGCAAATTAGGTACTGGAAGAAGATATTTTGGGCAAGATTTCAATGATAGATTTGGGCAAAATGAAAGCATCATTAAAATGGCACATGAAACAAGCACCTCCTTTTTATCCTCCTTGCCACAGAAATGGTTCTGGCTGATGAAGGTTCCTTCTCATGGGGCAGCCAAACATTAGAGGCTACTGCTTCCTAGCAGAGATAGGCCGTAAGGAAGGGAACAGACCCACCCCATTAATAGATCAGTAAGGAAACTCTTACCATCTGACTGAAGGCATGTCTGTGACTTTTACCATTGTGTGTTTAGCATATCCACAATGGAAAAGGAAAACAGCAACTATTTGATTTTGGAAAGATGATGGGCAGAATAAACGTTCAGCTTATTGGCATGTGTGATACTGGGTGTGTTGGCATGGACCTGTAATTTCAGCACTAGGGAGGCTGAGGCAGGAGGGCGGCAAGTTCAAGGCAAGTTCCTGTCTTAAAAACTAATGAAAATTTCACGTTGTTATAAGAACTGCACCTATTGGAAATGCTTCAGATTTCAGAGGTCTGTGGACACGGGGATGTTAACATAGCCTTTACCGGTTGAGTGTCCCTAAGTCTGAAAATCCTAAATGCCCAATGTTCCGAAACCTAAAATGTTGGAGCAGATTTGTACCATCTCTTTTGTATTTGGGGATGAAGGATGCTTAATCTGAGCTCATCGTTTCTCATTAAGTAATTTACTAAATAAAAATAAAACTGACTAGAAACATAGTAGCACAGACATATTTATACCTATCTATATCTACCTACCTATCCATGCATCTATGATGTGTCAATTATCAATACATACTCAAACAATCTGTCTACTTATCTATCTACCTATCTATCACTGATAACATGCTCTATAAGTTTTCGCCCTGGTTTCCTCTGTTCATAGGTAATGTATGTTGCTATAATTTATGATCAGTTAAAATGGCTTTCTTCTCTTTTTTCCCTCCTTTTTTTCCTTCCTTCCTTCCCTCTAGCAGAGGACCCACATTCAGTTCCCAGCACCCACATCGACCTATAACTTCAGCTTTAGGGGACCTGATACTCTCTTCTAACCTCTGTGGTCATCGCCCTCAGGTGCAACACACACACACACACACACACACACACACACACGTACCATACTAAGTCTTTTTTCAAGGCAGCTGAGTGCGGTTGCTTTTAAATTACAGCCTCAACAGTCAGGAGATGGGGGATCAGGAGTTCAGGACTAGCCAAGGCTACAGAGTGAATCTGAGGTCAACCTGGCCTGTTTGAGACACTGTCTCAAAAGAAGAATATATGATATAATAAATGACCTATGAAGAGACAACCGACTCTTACAAAAAGAAATCAGTCACTGACCTCATCACCCATGTGAGACTGGAACTCAAACTTCATTGGTGGACAGAACGCAGCAGGGTACATCTCCATGAATCTCTGCTTGTCACTCCTTGGCTCTAAGTTGTCAACAGCATTTTCAATAATGTCTAAGCCTTCATGTCTGGAGGTTTCAAGGTTGTACTCGGCCGAGAGATACGTTCTGAGGGCTCTGTTCAGACTTGCATGGTAGCCAAGGTCGCAGCACTTGAGAACAGACAAGAACGCAGAGAGAAACGTTAATTCAAAACCGATTAAAGACCCACATGTGTGACCTGCGAGCATAAGGCTCAGAGGATCATGACACTGGATTAGACATAGGTTTCTTGGAGATGACATCAAAAGCCCATGAGCAACCAGAGAAAAATTAATTTGGATCCCATCAAAATTTATGCCTTTCTGATTTAAAAGACACTATCAAAAAAAAAAAAAAATTGAAAGGACAAACCAGAATGAGGAAAATGTTTGTAAAGGAATGTGGGTCTAGAATCTATAAAAAACTCTTGCAATTCAATAATTCAGATTGTCCAAGTAGAAGAGAAAGGCAGCGTCTCTGAACAGAGACCAGCTAAGATGAGAAATGGTCGGCGAGTTTATCAAAAGACGGAGATCATTGGTTATCGGGGAAACAGAGAAAAAGATAACTAGAGGATGCCGGTCATTGATGACTCAGTAGTTGTGAGCACTTGTTGCTCTTGCAAAGGATCAGGGTTTGATTCAGAGCACACACAACTGTTTGTTAACTCCAGTCCCAGGGGATCAGACGCCCTCTTCTGGCCTCTCTGGGTACTGCATGCACATGGCACACAGACACACATCAGGGCAAACACACACATACACATAAAATAAAAATAAATACATCCTAAAAAAAAAAAAAAAGACAATGGGAAAGCAGCTCACACACATCAGGATGGATATTCAGAGCGAGGGATGACAGCAAGTGCCAGGAAGGATGTGGATCAAGCGGAAACCTAACACTCCGTTGGTGGGAGTGAGCGGGAAGTGCTACAGTCACTTTGTGAACAGTTCCTCCAAAGGTTAAGCACACTGTGATTCTAAGACTCTGGGCTGGGGAGGGGGCTCAGAGGGTAGCCACGCGTGGTCACACAAGCAGAAGAACCTGACTTCAACACCCCGGCATACGTGAAAACCAGTGTATGGCTGTGCATGCCTGTAGTCCTTGCACTGCGTGGAGACAGAACACTTGGGAGGGCCAGCAGGCTCTGGGTTCAGTAGAGACCCTGGCTCTAAGGAATTGGGTGGAGAGTGACAGGTAATGTCTCCTGTGGCTTCCACATGCATCTACCACACACGCACACACACACACACACACACACACACACACACACACACACACACACACACGTACATATGCTTACGTGTGCACGTGGTAACAATTCAGCAAGTTTTTCCCTAGGTATAGATGTAAGAAAAATGAAAATAACTCGCACCTGAATATTTACAGCAGCTTTAATCGTAGCAACAACCCCAAACAATGTAAAAATCTACCCATCAATGGATAGATAAATAAATTGCCATATACTCATACATTGGAATAGTATTCAGCCATAGAAAGGAACAATATAAAAAAATTAAGAAAAAAAGAAAGGAACAAAATATGAATACATGTTACAACATGGATGAACTTTAAAAATATTATGCTAAGCCGGGCAGCGGTAGTGCACACCTTTAATCCCAGCACTCGGGAGGCAGAGCCAGGCGGATCTCTGTGAGTTTGAGGCCAGCCTGATCTACAGAGCGAGATCCAGGAAAGGCACCAAAACTACACAGAGAAACTCTGTCTTGAAAAACCAGAAAAAAACCCCACAAAACCTATATAAAAGAAGCCAGTCACAGAGAACTATGCATTGTATGAATTCTTTTATACAAAGTGAAGAACAGACATATCTAGGGACAGAAGATACATTAGTGGCTGTCTACTGCTGGGGGATGGAAGAACTGGAGGGGGTGATTGCTGAGGGGAGCAAGATTTTATTTAGGGGTGATAAAAATGTTCTGAAATTGACTGCAGTGACGGGTACACTGCTCTCTGAATATACTAAATGCCAACTGTAGACTTGGTGCGTGAGCAGAGCGGTATGTGAATTATACATAATAAAGCCTTCAAAAATGTAATGGCAGAAACCAGCAGTGAAAGGAAACAATGAAGAACAGTATCCGAGTTTCATTCACTCAATGCTGTGACTGATACAGCAATTTATTCAAATCCTTCTAGGAGACAAATATGCTAAGCAAGATTCCAGATTTGCATATTTTATTGATGACTTGAGACTAATCAGAATTGTTGAAGGGAACAGGCTTGAATCTGTCACAACACCCAGAAAAGCCTTCCCTCCCTCTAACTCCCAAGCATAAAATTCTTAAATAAGGAATGGTTGCTGAAGTCCTCTTATTACAGACAGAATTTGTTTCATATTCGTAGGAATTGAAGAGCTTTGAGAGAGCTGGATAGATGGTTCAGTGGTCAGGAGCATCTACTTATCTGGCAGAGGACTGGGGTTCAAGTGCCAGCATCTACCTGGGTGGTTCACAACCGCCTGGAACTCCAGCTCCAGGGGCATTCCACGCCTCTGGCCTCCGTGGGCACCTGCACTCACCTGCACATGCCTCCACACAGACACAGACACGTAATTAAAAATAAAAGCAATTTTTAAGGAAAGGGCTTTGAGGTCCCCCCGCCCCCCACCCCGAGTCTTTACTACCTTTATTTTGTACTTTAGTTCAATTCTTCATGCATCTTAAGCAAATGATTTAAAAGAAGCATGTAAGCCTGGAAATGGGCCAGCAATTACTGACAACAGAATTTGTTACATTAAAAAAAAAAAAAGGATAAATTCCTTAAAGAGGAAACACATAGTTTTAAATAGACAAAACTAGGTCATCTCCATATTGCTCTAATGAAGTCAATCAACTGGGCTTGATTCAATTCAAATCATTAATTGGCCAGGTGCCAGGGACTACGCTAGGCTCTGGGCACATTAAGGCTGGGACACAGTGAAACACTTCCATCCTCCAGGAGATGGAACTGAAGCTGTCTGTAGGAGAGGGGACACATGGGAAGCAGCCCTGGCAGAAAGAGCAGGTCCTCCAGGCTATGAGGCATCAACCAGCCCTTGCAAAGGGACATATTGAATTACAAGCACTTAGAAACAATGCCAGATGCCAGGCTGGGGACATAGCTCAGTGGCAGGGTGCTTGCTTAGCATGCCCAAGACCCCAGGTATGCTTCCCCGAGGTGTAACACAAATTTTGTCTTTCTACATTCAATGATCAAATTATTAATATCACTCCCCCCAAATTATTAAAATGGCAACTTTAAAACAAAGTTATTGTGAAATCCTGTTACTCAAAATGTGATCGACAGCAACACCTTCATGAGGGGCTTGTTGGAAATGCAGAATATCGGGCGTGGGATATGGCTCAGCAGGTATGGATGCTTGCTGCCAAGCCTGATGATCAGAGTTTTAGTCCCAGGACCCCCACACAGTGGAAGGATAGAACCGACCGCCATAGGCAGTCTTTGACCTCCACATGCTTGCTCTGGCCTGTGCTCCCACACACATGCATACAAAATCACATATAAAAATACTTAGAAAGCTTTTAACAATGCAGAATATTTGGTCCCGCCCCTGACCTATTAATTTGGAATCTGCAGTTTCAGAAGGATGCAGTGTTGAATGATTCAAAGACTGAATGATTGAGACACTTCCCCCAGAACACTCCAGGGACAGGGTCTTGGGACCCTGCCCTTTGGGAGGCGCTGTTTCCCCAACCTGACAAGAGGATTTGATGAAATATGATTTACAAAATCAGAAAAACAGCTGTGATGTCACAATGGCAAACGATACAATTGTGAAATGCAGCCATTGGATCACCAACCACCACCCATCTCCAGTGAAATCAGCTGCACCCAAATACAGAGAATGATTCATTTTGGTTAATTTGGAAACTTGAGTCTCACATGAACAAAGACCTTCTTTTATTCCGCTTGCTTCTCCCAATCCATAACGGCTCCCTACAGTTTTGTATACATCAGAGGGATTGAAAAAGTCATTCTGTCTTTCAATAACATCTTAGTGTACAAAGACACAGGTTTGTAAAGGAAATGGGCCTCATTTCTCTAATAGGTACTAGGGCTAAAAAGCAGCCCACTATTCAAAAAGGAGACAGATTCTTCTATCTGACTCTGAGGAAGCAAGGAGACCCTGCTGGCTTAGTTTATAAGTATTGATCTGGCGGGGAGAGTTAATAAAAAAGCTGTAATAGAAAGAAACAGTGGAGAATAACCTTTTATTCCTTACACAACCCGTGTTCTTTAAAAGGGGAAGGATGGATGGCAGAGAGAAAAAGGAAGGGAGGGAGGAGAGCAGGGAGAGAAGGAAGGATGCGGGGGTAAAAGGTAGAAGGGAGGAAGAAGGAAAGGAGAAGAAAGAGAAAGAAGGGAAAAAAGAGAGAGGAGGCAGAAAGAATTCTAACCCCAGCTGACCTGGCGTTTTGAAGAACATCTACTAAGTTTCCATTATTCCCCGACTTGAACACTTCACTCCACAAAATGACAAAAGCCCCGGTCTGCTTTCTATTCCCGGTACAGCCAGGTGGATTCGGTCAGTGTGAGACCTGGCTTCACTGTGGCTTCCTAACAGGCTAGTGGAGCAGACGTGACTTAGTCACTCATCTAGACGCCGTGAAGGTTCTTCAGGACTTGCCTTCCTGTGCTCAGGAGGCTTCTGACGGGCCATCGTATTCTCTGACCCCCGGGGTGCTCATCAGTCTGCAAAGTCACCCAGTCGGTATGATTTTGTTGCGTCTGTTCTGTAGTATATCCAAACTCTAGGTTTCTCAAGCATCTTGAACTTAGAAGGAAAAGGAAAATAGGAAAGAAAAGCTCTTCAAGGTCCCCCGAGAGCAAGGCTACCCACAGAAGCCTCTTTTTTCCTCCCCTAAACTAGAAGTTGAAATGACATTGGATAAGTTAGGACTCAAGATATTTGGTTAAAGAAGGTCTCAAGTAATTCTGCGGGGCTGGTGAATTATTAATGAGATCTGAAAGGCTTCTTCTACGTAGAGAGCTGGAGAGCACATTTAATGATGAAAACACACGGGAAACCAACAAACTATTTCATTCCGACAAAGCACCGCTATTCTGAAGAGAGAACTCTCGATGAATACATAAAACTATGAACCAA